CTGTTTATAGGTTGGGTTGGGTTGGATTAGGGACATTTTTTGGACCAACCTGAATTTTTGGGTTGGCCATATATAGGAACCAATGGGCCCAAATTTTTTGGGTTGGGTTGGATTTGGTTGCCGGGTTACATTAATTTTTCTTAACCTGGATCGAAAACAATTATAGAAAAATTGAAATGTTAATTCATCCATAGCTTGAAATCTTAATTAATTATGCATAATTTCAAATCTTAATTCAAACCAACATGGAAATTCTAATTCAACAAAAAATATTAAAATTTTACAATAGTAGTCATAAAACAAATAGAGAAATTAAATTCTTAAATCTCTAATACAACAATTGACCTAACGAGCAACAAGCTAAAAGATTTTGATCTTTTCACTCCATATGTTAGTCCTGAAAATTCAAATACAATAAAAACAATTAGTTTTGAAAAGGTGAAGAATAATAAAAAGCATTTATCATGATTTATTTATGCACGTTGTTGGTAGAGGAATGCAAACTCTTTGAAAAAAAATTTATCAAAAGAGAGAAAGTATAAAATGTTATAACAATATATAGTAAATAATTAAGAACAATTAGACAATAAATAAGTTACTTGTCTCAATTTGATCACATGTCTCCAATTCTTCGAGTTGTGGAGGAAGATCTAATAACACCGATTTGCCACGAATCCAATTTTGTGTGCATATCAAAGGCTCTAAAAGAATCAATAATCCTCTCCCTACACTAAATGTTGATTCAGAAGCCATCGTAGACACTAGAACTACCAAAACATGTTGGACAATTTTTTTATAAAACTCGATATTTATAGCCCTGAAGTTTCCACGAAGCTGAAACATGAAAACAATCATTAAGTTCCTCACTAGGGTCACTTAAATACTGATTCACATCATTCTTTAATTCCAAAGAACTCTTCTCTTCTCTTATCTTCTTGTATCTTAATATTACAAGACTACTCGCTACAACATTTCCACCAATTTTCATATCCATGGTAGTACTTTCTTTTTTTTTTTTAAATAAATATTCATGGTAATACTTGATTGGGAAGAATCAGTACTACAACTTTCAGTATCAAGACTAAGAGTACCGTCATGTGATTTGTAGAAATCATGCATACGAACCAAGTATGTCTTGATACTATCAAACATCTCATTAGCTATAGCATCCTCAAAGGTAATCGGAAAGAAAAATCCTACATAATCCAATTTGTAACCAGGATCAAACATCACAGCAATAAATATCAATTTATTCCTTTTCTTAATTGAACTCCAATACTTGTCAAACTTTTTTTTCAAACTTAAAGCCATTGTAGATAAAATAGAACCTTCATTTAGGCTCTAACTCAATAAAAGCTCTTCAATACCATGAAGTTGATGAAAGTAAGAATTAGAAGTCACATCTGAGAACCACTTATTCATCCATCACACCCATATGGTAAAGGACGCTCCAATAGATAGTTGTTAAAATTTTATGCATTATTCTTTTAGTAAGTTTATATAATATATTTTTGAATATTGAAAGAATTATTGTAATTTTTTTAATTATTTAAGATTCACGCAAGCTGGCACGGTGGCATGGATATTTAAAAAGCCTTTTCATATAATATTTCTTTTTAATAACATATATCTTTTAATTGATGCAATATTTATGTGTAAATAAAAAAATCAAATTTGTTATTTATTTATTGGCATGGATATTTAAAAAGTTTTTTCAGATAATATTTCTTTTTAATAACATATATCTTTTAATTGATGCAATATTTATGTGTAAATAAAAAAATCAAATTTGTTATTTATTTATTAATGCAATTTGATAACAATGAATTTTTCTTGAAATCTGACATACAATTATTACTCAATCATGACAATCTAAGCATAGCTTAATTGATTAAAACATAAAGTAACATCAAGCGACATTAGATCTACCTATCCTGAAGTGCCATTGAGATGCCTCTTGCAAGTGGCACATAGTTCATTGGAAAAAAATAGTTCGAGAAAGATAAACTCCAATATTTAGTATTGTCTATCCTCAAGCGTTACAAATAATCATGGCAAAGCATATAGTGCCACATTGTATTGCGGGCATATTTTGAGTGTTCTATTTTCTAAATTGACATGGAGTGATTATTGTTTTTCTCTTTTAACTATTTTTGGATTCCTATAAAATTATATTTAATATTTGTATTTATCCCATTTGATTGTTGTTTCATATTATGAGTGTTTGTTTTCTCAAGTGATGTAGAATGATTGTTGTTTGCTTGATTTTAACTATTTTTGGATTCTTTATTCTTTATTTATATATTTTTATTAATTAACCTGAATTTTTTTACTGATGTGGTTAGTTTTGACCAATAAATTTTGTACTGTGATCATTTCAATCTTTGATCGGAGGAAGCGCATCAGAGTCTTGAGTTTGTCGACGAACGGCTATGTCCCGTTGCAAAGAACCCTAAGCGGTAGTGTCGTCCGAGGCTGCCAACGAAGCGGCGCTGATCTTCAATTCGAAGCTATCTTCATTGATAAATTTGATGGTAAATAAGTATTCAAATGCTAAATTTGTTTATCTTGACGTCTACAATCAGTTTCTTGCGCTCATTAAAAAACCTACCAAATATGGTAACTCTTGCTTTACCTCTTCATCGACTAAAATTAATTTCTGTATTCGTAAATTCTTCGTTTTGACATGCTTTAATGTTTCTTTTACGAAGAACAAAAACTTTTTAGTTTCCATTCTTTTTGGAAAGGTACGAGTTCTTTGATAAAAGAAGAGATCTTTGTAGGTATTTTGGGAGAAAGCAAATAATACAAAATTTGATGTAATATCACAGTACTTAATTTTCTTTCCTTTTATAAATGGTTTGTAAAGGAATAGACGCATTGTTTCGTCGAATAGTCATACCTCTTGATCGATTGCACCCATATGGAAATAGACGCATTACTTCTTTAAACAGACACTTCGTTGAAACAATAACATCCTGTAAAAGTATGAAGGGAAAAAATAGGCATATAAAAATTCTCGTTCGTAGCCTCATTTATATACAGACTAGTTAGATTCACGTGTTTTGCACGTGGTCTAAATTTTTTGGAAGTAAGACATTTCTCTCAATAGATGAATATACTTTTTATGGCGAACTTTCAAAATTGAATGAATATACTTTTTATTGATGCTTAATATTAAATATTTCACATGAATTTAAAAAATAATGAAAGAGATAAATGATAAATAACTTAATAGATTTTTACAACTTTAAGTACATATAGTTGTGAAATAAATTGTTGGTTATGTGTAATTGAATGAAATATATTTCACAAAAAAAATTGAAGAGGGATAAATAGGAACATTAACCATAATTTTATATTGCCTCTTCATGTCTAAAATTAATTTATGGATTTGCAAATCTTCATTTTGACATGTTCAATGTTTCCCTTACGAAGAATGAAAACTTTTAATTTGCATTCTTTTTAAAAGGTTTGATAAATGAAGAAACCTTTGTAGACATTTTGGGAGAAAATAAAGAATACAAAATTTGATGTATCACAGTGCTTATTTTTCTTTCATTTTATAAATGGCTTGTAAGGGAATAGACTAATTGTTTCGTCTAATAATCACACAGACACCTCATCCAAATAGTAGCATCCTGTGGAAGTATGAAAGGTATAATAGGTATTTGACAAAATCTTCATATATATTTTGGAGTTTTTGGTGAAAGATAATTTGCAATCACACCTATAGATGCATTGTTTGTCGTAGAATCCCAACTCATTTAAATTAATTTCTCTCAACATACACCTCGTCTCAATAGTCACCCCTCCTAGAAGTTTAAAGGGTAAATTGGATATATATTAAAAAGTTGAGGGAACAATAAGAAGGTAAAGATTCTCCTTTACCGTTCCATTTAGAAAATCTACCTGACAAAGAAGAAATATATATAAAAGTAAGTTATTTAAAAGTTTTGATGAAAGTATAATATATATTATATATATATATATTAACAAAGGTTACATTAGATAAGTGTTTTATTTTTAGTTTTCTGTTTTTAAAATTAAGCTTACAACACCAATGTTTTTCTTTGTCTAGTTATCAACTATTTAAAAATGTTTTCAAAATCTAAGTTCAATTTAAAAAAAAAAATTAGTTTCCTAAAAAAGTACCACATTTACTAAAAAAAAGAAAAAAAAACCACTCTATTAAGTGACATTTTAAATAAGAAAATATTGAGGGGTCGTTTGTTTTGTGGGAATCTGAGATTCCAGTGGGATGAACATTCAGATTCCCGTGTTTGTTTGATAAGAATGTTGGATATCCGGGTATTTAAAAATGTCCGGACATCTTAGGATGCATGTACGGGAGGCATCTCAGCACTTTTAATGCCGTGCCGTAACATGAGTTTTTAAGATTCCCACGTCGAGGGCATCTTCTTTTGAAAATTTTGTCCCTCGACATTTTTTTGTTCTATAATATTTTTTCATCAATAATATTTTTTCTCACTTATTTTATTTTATTTTAAAAATAAATATATGCACTAATTCATTATAAAATGTCTGACTAAAATTTTATTTATAGGCTACATTTAGATATAAAATAAACATTAATCAATAGTATAATATCTTAATTTATTTTTAATTCAAATCTAATGTGTTATATTTCATTTATTTTACTATTCCAATAATCACTAAAAATAAACTAAAATTGATCTAAAAATATATATTAAGTTAATAAAAATAAATTTTTATATGAATTCAAATAATAGTAAATTTAATATATAAATTATTTGATAATTGGTAAATATATTTTTATAACATTACATGAATTTACAAATGTTAAAATGAATAAATCTTACGAAATAAACTCTAAATTACAGACATTTGAGGTTTCAAGATCTAAAGTTACCGGTTATTTACATTCCCAAAAAACAAACAATGTTGGTGAAAGGTAATATTACAGGTTACATAAAAAAAAAAAAAAAATCCTAATTACCCCTGCTTTCTCATTTCACAATCACCGGTCTCTCCCCCGTCAATCAGAAACATAAGTGATGTTGGTTGATTTTCTTCTGCCGCACGCCTCCGCCGTCTTCGCCGCTGCACGTCTCCCCGCCTTCGCCGCCGCTGCACGCCTGCTCGCTGCCGTTGCCGTTGCCGTCGCGGCTGCACTACTGATTTCGTCTACTCTTGGTCTGTTCTCACTCTTACACTTGTACGTTTAATCCTTTCCTAACCTCCCTCCCCTCGATTTCCATCGTGTCGTTGGGAATCGCCGCAAGTTTCGAACCAGTTTCCGTGTCACATGTACCTGTCTTTGCTCTTTGGTGAACGAAGCAGCATCTTAATGCACCGCTTATATTATATAATGGAGAGAAATTGGGTCTTGGGAGTTGGAGAATTTGAATCAAGTATGGTATATTTATATATTTTGTTAGGAATTTGAATAGTTATTTGTTAAATTTTAGTAATCATGATAATAATTTGTGAATTTTTGTAACTGAATTTGTATTTTACACGTTCCAAAACAATTAATTTAAGAAAATATTGGCCGGTAATTTCATTGCTCTAATTCATCTTCCACATCCGAAGAAGTTATTTCAATGAAATTTGAACAGTGAAATGTGGACCAAGTGAGCGTAAACTGAGATTTTTCCGTATGTGGCTTGAATTCTACGTGGTTTTCTGTTGGTTTTTGTACTGGAAATGGTCATCTGCGCTGTGGCGAAAGTTGCCCAGCCCGGTGGTGCGGTGGAGGGCTCGAGATTCTGGAACTATGCAATATTGCAATTTTTTTTAGTTGGAGTTGGCTTCTCTTCCATTCTTGAAAGGATATATTGTTCTTGCTTCATTAATTGATATTTAAATTTTGTAGATCTCTAGCCCAAGGGAATCCAGCTAGTTCAAATTTTTTGTCTTTCCAAAATATGAAGGGTGCTTGAGGGGGACAAGAAAAGGAGAAAAATGAGGTTTTTGTGTGTAAAAACAGTTCTACGTTTGAAAGGGTTGAGAGAATCCTCAAGTCGTCCATGGCTTTTTTCTGCCATTTCCTATTACTCAGATACTCCCTCCAAGAAGTCTAAGCTTGCCCCTTTACAGGTTTTTTACTCGCTTCTCTTCCTCGTTTTCATTAGCTTCTCACTAGCCACATATAAATGCAAATTATTCTACTTATGTTTGGGATTATGGGGTTCTATGTAGGAGAGAAGAATGGTAGACAGGTTTAAGGTGTATGCCAAAGGAGGTGATGGTGGAAATGGTTGCCATAGCATGCGGCGTAGTCGGCACGATCGCCACGGCCAACCTGATGGTAGGCTTTATGTAATTATTTAATCTCTTAGTCTACTTGTCATCTAGTCGATTCTACATTTTTCTAGTTTTAGGAGCCAAATTGTGTGAGAAAGAAAAAGGAGAGAGTTGTGTGAGAAGAAAAGATTAAACAATCAGTTATTGTAATGTCTTGTACTTAGCAGCTTAAAGCATCACATTTTATGCTGCTCTTTCTTTGTGCTTCTGCTAACATCATACTGGAACGGTAGTTCGGTAAAGTAAATTAAGACATTCCTCTTAACAAGTATAACTATGATTGTTTAATCATTGGCAAGGATGACCAATGTCATTATATGAATAGAATGTGCAACAAATAAGTCCTCTATTAAATTATCTACTAGTAAAAACAAACCAACATTTTGTTGTTTTGTTTTTTGTTTTTGCTTCAAGCTTCCTAAACCATTGCACTATGCAATATTGCATTGAGTTATTTACTTATTACATTTATGTTTCTTTCTTTGATATTTGTGAGTGTTTGGGCCAGATAATCTCATGGCATAATTGTCTGATCCTAAAACATTGTTGTTATTAACACCACATTTTTATTTGATGCAGGTGGAAATGGTGGAAGAGGGGGCGATGTGATTCTGGAATGTTCTCCCTCTCTCTGGGACTTCAGTAGTTTAAATCATCATATTGTATGCTTGACTCTTTCTTTATGCTTCTACTATAATGTATAAGAATGATAAACTACCTTTATAGTTACAGAATTATAATTTCAATCAATATTCCTTCCATATCTTTCAGAATGCAAGCAGAGGTGGACATGGATCTTCGAAAAAAAAGATCGGAACCAGGGGTGAAGATAAGGTCATCTATTCCCTCCTGATCTGTATGTGTGCAACTTCAATGCCTTTTTTTTTTGTCTTTTAATTGTTCATATTTGTTAGGTCAATCTATAAATTTAGTCTCCAAAATTTGAGGAATGTGTCTATTTAGTCTCTAAATTTTAATAAGTTCCAATTACGTCTCTAAATTTTGAATTGTGATTTTATTTGGTTATTACTATTAACTAAATAATAATGTGACTTGAAGAAATATTAGCTAATTTGACTCAATATGGTAGACAAATGGTAGAAGGAAGTGCATGATCTATGAAAAAAATTGATATGCTAAAGGGGATCTCTCTCTAGATGGTTTTCCTTTCTATCCATCTATGAAGATCAAGTCTGATTCTTATTAGAGCATGTACCATTGTCTTTTCTGCTGAACATGGGATTTTGATATGGTTTATCAAAGTTGGTCTTCGATTGCTCAAGTTCCAAGTGAAGTTTTGAATTTAAGTAGTTGTTGTGCTGTGCACAAGTTCTTCTCTTTAAGTGTAATCCTTGGTTTCATGATTTTGTTTTCATACTAGAAGAGAAGAGGAAGTCTCTCTCTTTTATATTAGATTCAATGGGTTTCCTATCAAAAAAAGGAGGAAAAAAGAAAGAAATAAAGGAAAGGAATCATTTGCAACCGTTGGGAAGTTCCTTAGTCGGGTTTCTTCCTTTTTCTTTGGATAGTAAGTTTGTTAAAGAATCAAGATTTGAAAAGGGTGTGATAAGGGTTGAAAGAATCTTTAATTTTCTATGGGTGGTGCGTAGAAATCTCTTCCTTTCCATATGATGGCAATAGATAAAGTATTTTTCCCATTGGAAAATCTAACTTGGTTGGCCTATATATTGGAAAATGATTTGTGATGGATTAAAGAAATTCAAGAACAAGGATTGTCTTAAAGATGAAAGGAATTTGCAAAGTTCCTTGGAAAAGCAGAGGCATTCCCTCGTGGTAGGGACGAGAAGAAGTTTTTTTGCCTACGGAGGAGTAGTGTTAAAAATAATGGGTTGGGAAAAAAAGGATTTTTCGGAAATTGAGTGGGATTGTGCTATGTGGTCGCTGGAATGAATTGGCATGATAATTGGATCGAAGACTTTGAAGACCCTGAAAGTTTCAACCTTTTCGATGTTGGTAAAGCTTCGTTAAAATATAGAAATGAGAAGGTTGACGACGATACGTGTGATTTAGTTGATTGGACAAAGGTTGAGAGCTTTAATGAGAAATTCAAAAGATGGGATGCCACCAAGCATGGGAAATCGGAGGTTATTCCTTGCTATGGAGGATGGATAAACTTGAGAGGTGTAAGTGATAATTGTGAAGGTTTTATCCAATGTGCTTCAAAGGCCATGAACTTGATAGATTTCTTTGAGGCTTGTATTGAAGTTTAAAAGAAGGTGTGGTTTCATGCCAGCATAAAAATGGGCCCAAAGCCCATAATCTTTTAAATTTCCAATCTTTTCCTTTATTTTTCGAAAAGATCTCAATCTTTCCATAATCTTTTCAATTTTCTCTCCCTCCATTTACGTGAATCCCTTTAATATTCTGTGATTTCTCTCTCTTCCTTCACATGGAAGGAAATATTTTTTYTATAACAAAACCTCCAYAYAAAAKCTTTCCATCTCTGTCATTTCTCAACCTCTTCTCTCTCTCTTTTTCTCTTTATAATGTTTGAACTTTGAATATTATTTGGCTTTTATATGTTATATATGTGTGTATATATATTTTTATTTATCTTTATATATAGAGGTCTATTGCGCTTTAGTGGGCCTCGAGCTTTTTAAAACACTGGGAAGGTTTACAACCAAGCATATACTTGACTCCTTTAGGTGATCAAGAACATATTCTCTTTGAGAGATACACAAATCTATCCTTGAGCAAGCCACTTCCATGGATGCCTAGGAAGTATTTGAGACTTCCGTGCTTCTTAAATAGAAAGCTTATGAGTGGATCGAGCAGCAATTTTTGGCATTTCACCTTGAGGACAAGGTGAAAGTTTGGGTAGGGGGTGTTGATGGGTACCAAGGCTCCAATTTACCATACCTACATAGGGAGAAAGTTAGGAAATGTCGGTAATAAAGGGGACAAAGTACAGATGGGAGCAAGAGAGGAATAGGTGAGAGTGTGGGCTGGACGGTGTAGTCCCTCCCTGATTTTGTAATTGGACAGCATTGCAATAGGCTACGCAGGGGTGTATTTTGTCGAGGATTGGGGGTGCTTGTGGGGTCTCGGATTACTTTGGTTGCTAGGAATTTTCTTTCCAAGGAAGAGAGGTCCTGGCCTCTCTGAGAGCTTGGGACTGTTTTATTGTTCTTGTTTCTGTTGAGTGAATCTATTTGCATAGATAGGCCATTTTGCTCCTATTATTTAGTTGACAATGTGATTGGAAGGCTGAAGTTAGGGATATTATTATGATAGCAAGGGTATATTAGTTATTAGTCAAATGATTGGTTATAAACTTAAAAATAGAAGGGGTAGGACGGGTGTGAAGGTAGAGGCAATATTGTATTGATTTAATCTTGAGTATTCGCAAGGGGGCCGAGTCCAAATAACTTGAAAGACTTGGTAGTATCTTGCTGTAGTCTTATTATCTGGTTCCTATAGCACTGTTAATGGTGTAGGGACTACATATAATTTTAATTCAAAATTCAAGAACGAAACTAAATTATATAGACAGCATCGTAATGTAACCATTTTTTGTTTTTTTGTTGTTAAAATTATTAATTTGAATCTATAAATACTAAGTTTTACGGTATGTGTATGATAGATTGTTCAAGTACCTGTTGGCACTGTCATCCATCTTGTGGAGGGTGAACTTCCCAGTGTAGTCAAACAACATTCTTCAACAGATTTAGATCCCTGGCAGATTCCTGGCACACTAGTTAATGATATCTCTGATTCCCGCCAGACGTCTCTTAAATATTCCAACAAAGAAGAGGAAGTCGAATCAATAGTTAAGACTACTCTCTTGCCATGTAATAATAGTGACAATAACACCGGTGATTCTTCGTTCGGTAGGGAAACCTCTAAAGCTGCTACATCTTCAAATGAGATTTCTCGAGTTTCTGCATTTCCTGAAACCCCTAGTTCCATTCAAGACGAGATTGGAGAAAGTGAAGAAATGAAATACAATGTTGCGGAATTGACGGTAGAAGGTCAACGAATAATCATTGCTCGTGGAGGGGAAGGTGGTTTGGGAAATGTTCATGCTCTCAAAGTTTCAAAGAAGCATAAAGCCTTGGGGCAAGAGGATGAGTCCATAAGTTCTGATGTATCTGAAACCAATGAGTCCAACCCGCGAGCTGGTTTTCCCGGCAGCGAGGCTCTACTTGTTTTAGAGCTTAAAAGTATAGCCGACGTGGGCTTTGTCGGGATGCCCAATGCTGGTAAAAGTACTCTGCTAGGAGCCATTTCCAGGGCAAAGCCAATAGTTGGTCATTATGCATTCACAACTCTGAGGCCAAATTTGGGAAACCTAAATTATGATGACTTATCAATCACAGTAGCTGACATTCCAGGTCTTATAAAGGGTGCACATGAAAATCGTGGACTCGGGCATGCTTTCTTGCGTCACATCGAACGTACGAGGGTTCTGGCATATGTGCTAGACTTGGCTGCTGCATTAGATGGTAATAAAGGGATACCCCCATGGGAGCAGCTGCAAGATTTAGTTTCAGAGCTTGAACACCACCAGAAGGGGTTATCGGATCGACCGTCCTTAGTGGTGGCCAACAAGATCGACGAAGAAGGGGCCGAGCAAGTGTACGAGGAGTTAAAGTCAAGAGTGCACGGAGTTCCCATCTTTCCCGTTTGTGCCGTTTTGGAAGAGGGTGTTGCAGAGCTTAAAGCTGGCCTTAAGAGCCTTGTGAATGGCGAAGCATTTTATAGGCTTAAGGTAGATGACATTATTGTTGATTAGGTGCTTGGAATGTGCGGTTTGATTCCATTTTTGCTGCGACTGATAGAACTTAAAGAGATTATTGAAGAAAAATAGATTGATATATTTATGAAATTTGCTTACAAATGAGAAGTCACCACCAGGAGGAAATCAAGCTAAACCATTAGAACAATTCTCCATTATGTCAAATGAAATTATTATAGAATGCTTTTGTGTTGGATATTCTCAACTTGGGATGCTAATGGCCACGAGGGAGCTTGAATAATTATTTCTCAATTATATTATTTTGGAAGTTAAAAGATACATTTAGTCTTATTTTCATTACTACCTTAGTTTGTAATGATTTAGGCTACGTTAGAGAGTGATTTTGACATTTTGTCATTGTCAAAATCACTTTCGTTTTCATGGATCTTGGCAAATTAAAATTTTGATTTTTGAAAAATTTAAAATCACTTGAAATTGATTTTTAAGGTATTATTTGGATGATGATTTTGAAAAATCAATTATCCTTAAATTTTTTTTTTCAAAACCACTCATTCTACTATCACTACCAAACGCTTTAGGAGTGATTTTAGCATGGTCAAAATCACTTTTGTCACTGTCTAAATCACCTCTCTTTTCGGATCATATTTGTCAAATCAGAAAAATTGAGTTTAGAAAACTTAAAATGACTTTAAATTGATTTTCAAAGTATCATGGTGATTTTGGAAAATCAATTTAGTCTTTGAACTTTAGATTTAGATTAACAATTTAATTAATGTAATTTAAAGTTTGTAACAATTTTAGGTGTGTTTGGGAATGATTTTGACATGACTAAATTACTTTTGCCATTGCCAAATCATTCTTTTTTAAAGTATCAATTTTAGGAAAATTATTTAAAATTGATTTTTGAGGTAGTAGGTCGATGGTGATTTTTGGGTAGGTGATTGATCGGGAATCAACTTCCTCCATCTTCATTTTTTTTTCCAAGTGAGTTTTGTCTCTTTTTAAAAGATGGGGTTGAGTTGAAAGAAATTAATTGGGTTTCACCGTCCTTTTCTTTAGGGTGTTCCTTTTCAAAAATGATGCTCGACAAATTAGAAAATTGATTTGGGAAAGCATAAAATGACTTAAAATTGATTTTTAAGGTATCACACTTGGATATTGATTTTGGAGAATCAATTATACTAAAATCTTTTTTTCTAAAATTACAAATTTTACCATCACTTCCAAACACAACCGGGTCTCCCCCAGTTTTTTTTATTTTAAATGTGATTCTTGGTGGTTTCTTGCTGAGTTTTATTAAATAACTGTTTAATTAAACCATTCATCAAATTTAATGTTCTTTTCCAGGATTTGGTATTTTCTATGAAATCAAACATTAAAAATTCAAAAGTACTTCTAATAATATAAAAATCACTTCAAATCAAGTATAAAATAAATTGTATTTAAATATTTTTTACAAAACCAATATTATTTTAATCTCTTTCTATAAAATCACTAATTAATTATCACTTCCAAACACACTTTTAGTTTTTATTGTGAAATATTGATAAACTAATAAGGGGCCAAATCGCTATAAATTGAAGTTTTTTTATGGTAGGATCAAATTGTTACAAATTTTAAACTATATGGACTAAATTGTTACTAATTTAAAAGTAGGACTAAATCATTCCAAACCAAAATTAAGGAATTAAATTGTCACTTCTCAAAAGAATCACGAGTCAACTATACTGTGTTACRATCACCTCATATTGATAAAAAGTCCAGAGAACAATTTGAAATGGAAATCAAGAAACAATTTCTGGTCATAAAAACAGAAAGGCATGAATTGCGCAAGAAGTTCTTTCGGTTAAAACGCCGTGCGCCCCCACCAGATGGGCCGCCCAAAACCTGGAGCTAACATTTCAATCRGAAAATGAAGAATATTTAGAGTTTTCTCCCTTTCTCTCACTCAATAGATGTATCTTGTCTGATACGGCGTGAGGTATTTTTTAACCTTTCAAATATGTTGGTATTTTGTATTATTACAAAATCACCTTTCACGTAAGCTTGTTCAATGAAACCATGCAATGCATGAACTAAAATCGAACTCTAGTTTAAAACTAAAATGCAATTTCATATATAGTTGAAGGAAAAAAGATTGAAACGTATATGTGGAACCAATTTTAAGCTTTCAGTTCAACTCAAAGTCAATTTTAAAAACAAATAAGAAGTTGAAGATATAAAATGCTATTATTTAGCCTAAAAATAAATAATAAAAAAAGACTAATCTTTATTCTCATTAATTTGGAGTCTTTAAGTTACATAAATAAATAAATTGAGTGGAATCTGGTTGATAAATCTCTCTCTAGTGGATGTCATTTTAGAATCAAATTGATTGTAGTGCACATAAACTTTTTTTGGTTGCGAAAGAAACAAAATACAAATAATAATAATAATAACAATAACAGAATTACATTTGGTAAATTGTTTAATACAAAAAATAAAATAAAATAATAATAATAATAGAGTTACATTTGGTAATTTTTTTAAAAATAAACATTAGTATTTTTTTCGTGTTTTCTAAAATTTTAAATTAAAAAAAGCGAAAATTAAAATTTCACATTAAATATTCAAAAATTTTTATGCTACCTTTAATTATTGATATTTATTTTCTATTTTGCAAGCCTAAAGTATAAAATAATATTTTGATCTATATAAATCAGTAACAAAAAAACTTGATTTTGATACTTCTAAAATTTCTACACAATTTTAGAAATATTTGGTACAAGAATTTGACTTTTTATTGACGCTTTAAAACGTTGGAAAAAGACCCCAAAAAAAAAACGTCACGGGTGACTTCTCCCAATGATAATTATTCGTCGGCAACAACGTCGGCAAAAGGGCGTTGGGAATGTACGTTACCGATGCTCTAAAAAACGTCGGCATAACTAATCTTATGCCGACGTTTAGAAAACGTTGGTAGAACTTGTTATAAGATGGAAATCGATCAAAGAAATAGGCCTCTACAGACCAGAGAGGCCCAACCAGGAAACGACGAAGGGAAAAGATCGAGCCAACTAGGGCTCGGTCCC